GGTGTAATGTCCCATAAATATTGTTGTATTACTGTGTTCAGAACGCTGAATTAATTTTTCAACTGCAGTAAATGATGTCTATGTAAAAAAATAAAAAAATGAGTTAATCAAGTTAGAAGAACATTTAGACATCTACATGGGTTTGAGAAAAAAACAGATTAAATGTTCAGACAGATTAAATAATAGTTGCATAATACAAGTTATCTTCTGTATATCACAAATAGTGAAAAGTGTTATTTACCATGCATTTAAACTGTGCTTTAGACATAAATCTACTGTGCCTTTAAAACTTAAATCTACTGTACCTTCAAACTTAAATCTACTGTGCCTTTAAACTTAAATCTACTGTGCCTTTAAACTTAAATCTACTGTGCCTTTAAACTTAAATATACTGTGCTTTTAAACTTAAATCTACTGTGCCTTTAAAGTTAAATCTACTGTGTTTTAAACTTAATCTACTGTGCCTTTAAACTTAAATCTAGTGTGCGTCTCTGAACTGAATTCTACTGTGCCTTTAAAATGAAATCTACTGAGCCCTTAAATATAAATCTACTTGCCTTATCAAATAACCCAAAGAAATTAAAAGGTCTCTTTGGTCCAGGATTTAGAGTGGCATCCAAAGCAATAAAAGAGTAGGTACCAAATGGTAATTTATGCTGATATAAAAAATGACTTTGTTCTCCCTGTCTACCTGTAGTAGAATACTCTCTGAAATATGAACACATATCAAGAATATTACAATATACATACATAGGTTAAAGTCATTGTAAATAACATTACAGCCATTGTCATGTACTTACTTAAAATAATTGGCTTCACTTTTCAAAGATGGAATATTAAAAACATCTGAAATGTATCAAGCAAAAGAATATATTTTATTATTTATGAAATATTATATATTCAACATCATATTGTTATTGTAAAGAATATAATTAAGACATCAACACAATATAATATTCATTATTAAATGGCTATAAGTAGCAAAGTAACAGTTACATAATGAGTCATCATTAGTACAAGCCGAGGATGTTGACATTTTAGTAAAAAACAAGCCATCCCTTTTGTACTACAATTGATACTCGTCTCAGAGAATTTCAATAATCCATAATATTCTGACCACAAACAAAACATTATTCAAGATGAACCCTCCCATTGTGGAGTCTGATCTGTGTACTTTCTGTTCATCATGCTCTGAATCTCTTATCCATTTGTTTTACCAATGTCAATGCACTCAAGATTTTTGGGAAATACTGTACATGCTTTGGGGGGGGGGGGTAAGCTTGGCCTGAGGGCATTCCCGAATGCACAACAAATTTTTTTGGGGGATGATAACTTTATATGTTTAGTCAACTTCCTCTTTCTGGTAGCAAAAAAATATATTTACTTGTGTAGACATAAAAATCAAAAGCCAGAATTCATGGCATACAAAAGATATGTAAAACATTTCCTGGAGATAGAGTACTTCATTGCTGTCCGACGGAATAAGTTGACTTCTCATAACAAGAGATGGGGATATTTTATGAAAAATGTTACCCAATCCACTTCACAATGTGTAGATTAATTGCAATTTGTAATGTACAAACCAGGTATGTAAGATGTTAATTTCAGTGCAAATTCCAATAAAAGTTTATAAATACAAAAAAAACAAAAAAAAACAAGACATGCATGGCACAGTCTCCGTTAGTTATCAAATATATAGCTGGAATATAACCATGTCATGAATTTGATTTTTTTAACATTAAAATGATTGACATTTGTATCTGATCATCAAACAAGTACTTGTCCATATTGAGAGAAATTGCTCTGGAACAGCATTCAAAATCAGTCATTTTGAATACATGTATATATATATAACATGATGTATAACGAATATATAAAATTTAAATATAATAAGTCAAAGCATTTACGAGATATGGCTCTAGAAGCCCAATCATTAAAACAAAATGGCCGCCAGTCAGCCATTTTGAATCCAATCTGAAAAATAAAATGACGAGCATCAGGAACATGTAATGTCTAATATACATGTATGTACCAAGTTTGAACGAAATCCATCCATAAATGCCAGAAATGCTTGATATTTGATTGTTTAGCACAAAAAAGGCCACCATTTGGCCATTTTGAATAGGATCGTCAAACCAATATATCTGCGTCCGAACGGGGGCTGAACTGCGTCCGAACAGGGACTAAAAACCATTCAAGTGCAAAGTTACTTGCAACTCGCAAGTTTGAGCGCCCTCACTCACCATGATTTCCCTTGAGATCAATCCATGTTGTCTTCTCTGAAACATTTGTGCGTTTTAAAATATTATAATATGTTTGCCATTCAGTGATATATTGCATGGATCCCATATTATCAGCAGTTTTGGCATCAGTTAAATCACCTAAAACAGTAAGCAAAAAATACTGAACATTATAGACTCAATTGAAATATCAGTCACTGGTAGCCTAGTGGTTGTCGCATCAGACTCATGGCCGGTAGACCCATGTTCAAATCCTACCTTAGGCTGAACATAAAAAGGGTCGACCCCTACCTGGGTGAGTGTGCCACAGACTCAATCGGAAGGCCAATTCCACTGGCCGAGATTCATTCACTAACGAATGCAACTTTGGGGGAACCTTGGTTATGGTCGGCAGGTGCTTGTGTTCGACCGAGCCTGGTTGACGCCAAGATAGCGCATTAAATTGCCATTTGATGGGAAGTTGGCCGCACAGCCCTGTCTTGTAGTCTCAAACATGAATATGACTTCTGTGACAAAAAAATGCATTATGTGTCAGCACTTGCAGTTTGCACATAAAAAAAAAAGTCAGGAGAGATAACAGTGACACTCAAAGTCCGGAACTGTCGCCTGGCACAAAAACAATTTTAAAAAAATATCAATCAATCAAGGTAAATATCAATGAACAGCTTTATTTATGTGTACAAACACACTAGAACAACACTAGCAAGACAACTTGACTGATATTAAAATGGAGGAAATATAGCATTATAATTTTTAGTATAAAATGTATTTGGTTTGATAAAATACAACCAAAACAAAGTCTAGTCAAAATGTACTTTGTGAAATGGCATGTGAATTGTTGCTATTAGGCCAGACTTTTATTATCTCTTGTTTCGCGAACCCGCTGAATGAACAGGAGCCGAAAATGAAATAAAAATAACATTTTATTTCAGCGTAATTTCTCGCGCCCGCCGACTTGTGAGTGCAAAAAATTGCTGAAAAGAATTATTTTTATCTTAATTTTGTTTCCGCCCACCGCCTAACAAATCCAAGTTGCGTTTGCGAATACTAGGCGAACATGGCGGCGGCGTGGTTTGTGGTGATATGCCTTGAAACTCTGTAGTCAAAAACCAAGAAATCCCTCATTAATGCTGAAAACTGCCAACCAGGTTATACATGGAATAAAATTTTATTTCATTTCTTCTCGCCGATCAATTATCTCACTTACAATTCTTTGACAATCACACAAATCTAATGGAAAAAAAGAATTATTATTTTTTTTTTTTCGCCCTCCTCAAAAAAATTGACTTATAAAAACTCGAGAAACAAGGAATAAAAAAACTCTGGCCTTAAAAACAAAGATGCCTAGTTTTCAAACCGGTCTTTATACAGCAAGCTCAGAAAAAGGACATCTGTCATAATTTCATAAATCCCACTCACCTGTTACAAGCACCAGAGCTGGTTTGATAATATCAATATTTTCTTCACAAAATTGATTGAAATCTGGTGTTCTCTTTGGGTCTCTAAATTTACTTATATGAATATCTGATATCTGAAAATAATAACATGTTAATTTAAAGGAGACATTTTGAATCATGTAAATAAACTTCAATGATATATATATATACAGTTATTACAAGTAATGACATTACTCTTACACTTGATCTAAAGGTATCACCACTAATTTTTTTATGTGTAATATACTATGAAATGTAAGTTGTTTTGATCTGTGCTTATAAGTCAATTAAAAAATAAAATACTGTTTTTGAAAGATTTGCTCTATTCTAAATAAGTCAGTTAGTCTCTATTTGTGTTTAGCTGAATAGATACTTGAACACAAAATTGCTGTCTTTGAGACAAATTTTAACAAAATACTGTCAAGGCATGATCATGAAAGGGTTAAAACCACATAAAAATAACATGGCTGTCAGTCAGCCATTTCTATTCAAATCACAAAACAAATCAACAGGCGACAATAACATCCTTTATGTTGTGTACATCCTTGAAGACCCATGGGTTTGCTCACACTTGCTTTGAAATTAATCACCATAGAGAATAAAAAATACCTACATGTATAAACCACCAAAGGTTGTCTATAGAATCGCCAGGGAATGGCGCTATTTGGTCCCGTATATGTGGTGGTCCATTGTATTCTATAGGCAGCGTAAGATAATCTTTTGTGAAGCCATAAAACCATGCAAGTATTGCAATAAATAATAATGTAAAAACTCTTGATATCCAAGCCATACTCTGGTATTTATTTGCCTGCAAGATATAGAAAATAGACATGAACCATTCACTATCTTAATATAATTACAACTTTAACCACGACTAGTAACTGTGCTTTAACAAGATCAAAACAGAGCATGATGGTTTGCCAGAAAATTTTGAAAACAGCTTCTTCAACAAAGATAGAAAAATGATAAAAAAATTATGCAATTGAGCACCACACAATTGAGCACAATGTTCTTGCAAAAAGGTACTCAAGGTACTCAATAAAGTTCAATTTAAATCTGATCTTTTGAGATATGAGAAATTGGGAATAATAACTACAGCCGTTCTGAGAATTATTCGGACAGTCAGTTAGCAATATATCTTGGAACTTGGGTCTTTTCCAATCTAGACTTGATGGCGCCGTTGTACTGGCACGCCCACAATTGGAATCATTCCATTATCTTGCAAGATGCGAGTGAAACGCTGTTTTCAAAACTACATGCGTTGGTTACCATATATTAACAGGTTATATGTTGTATATGCATTCAAAGTGTTATTTTAAATTGTTATAACCATCTGAGTCCACCTGACATAGCGCAATTTACAAAACAACTCCCGAGTGTTGAGTATTAATCTGAACTAGTCGTTGGCGGGAAGGCTCAAAGTAAAGATTCTTAGCGGGACACGCTGCAGTTTCGCGACAGTTTTGGGCCAAACTAAAAGTTGTTTTTACATTACTGGTGCATTATATATCAAATTCAAATTTTATACCGAGGTGGGTTAGTACGTCAGGGATACATGGATGGAAAACTTGATTATAACGGTTTGATGGACTTTGTCAAATCAAAAGTGCCTTCCTTGAGCGAATCACTTTTTCAACTGCAGTTTGAAAAAGACGGGGTATAACGACCATTATTATGTCTAGTCCATTTTTGGAACAGATACAACTGACTAAAATGAGCGAGGGGTTGACATTTTTTGACAGATTTAAGCAACATCCAACTTGTGATTTTCAAAATTACTGAAAATAATTACAATATAATTTAAAAAAAAAAAAGAATGGTTGCTGTAAACGCACGCTAGATAATACTTGCAATTCACCAAGCCGATAACCCCTATGAAATAGTAATCCCAAACCATGCGCCCGTCACTCAAGTGGCGCCGACAAGTCTAGATTAGGCAAAGACCAAAGTGTTTTGCAAAGTTGCAAGTCATTTTGCTAACTGACTGTCCGAATAATTCTCAGAACGGCTGTAGACAATCAATAAGTGTGTTTTCCATTATTAAAATAATCACATCTGTGGATTACCCCAGAGCATCTATAAACCAAATTTTAATAAAATGTTATGATTATGCATCTTGTGCAAATTCGGCAATTAGTATGCACAAATTTCAATCCCAAACTAATGCATTATTCACAGGCACTTATATACCAAGTTTCAGTAGAATGTGATTAATTCTTAAAAAAAAATCAATGGAAAGTTGAAAAGTAAATTATTATGGATGTATATAAACCAAAAACCAATTAGATTGTAGCATTGTCATGTATTTATGTACCAAGATTCATTGGTACATTATTAGATGATAAGTACTCTGATGGAAAAGCTGAAAACTAGGTAATTAATATGCACAGATTTTGATGTAAAACTACTAAGGTCATCACAATGTCACAAACCATCTATGTACCAAGTTTCATTGAAATGTGATTAGAACCTGAAATATTGATGCAAAGCCAGACAAATTATGAATTATTATGCAAATTAGCTAATTAATATGCACATATTCAAACCAAAACTAAACAGGTCTTTGCATTGTCCTAGAGCAGGTACCAAGTTTCATTGTAATGTGATGATTAGCCAAAAACTGACAAATCATTATGCAAATTAGATAATTAACATGGATTTTTACCCAAAGCTAACCAAATCTGCGTATTAGATCAGAGCATCTATGCACCAAGTTTCATTGAAAACCAACATATCATTTTTGAGATATCAGTGGAACAGACAGACACACATACTAACTGCACATGGGAGCCAAAAAATAAAGGAGTGGTTATTTGAGCGAGCCAATGCAGATGACAATGTTTATCATTACTCACTATGCATGTATCAGTAGCACAATATAATATTTGTATACAATATATGCAGAATTCAGTGAGAATTTAATCCTACTGTGTTTTATTCACGTTTGGAGCCTAATTCTATAATTAAAAACAGTAGTACATGTATATCGTTTATTTAACCATAGACCCTAGGTTTACGATTTAAACATGGCTTATATAATTAAAAACACACTCTCGTCCAATCAGAAGGAAGCATCCAGGCAATTAAAGCGCCGGTATAATATAATATAATTTAATATAATTTAATCACGTACAATGCAGTCATAGGCCGTGTCGTAGAAATATGGATACATCCATTCTTGCCTCCATGCCACATAACTGTAGTACATTCACGTGATACAATTAACAATTAAACCACTATGATTGAACTGATGATAATAATGATAACGTAGGCAATTCCAGACGCATAATCATCGATTCACGTTAAAGGAAGCGTGCGAGAGCAGCGATCAAAGTGACTCATCAAGCGCTATCATGAGCCCATCATATATAATGACAGGGAGTCAAGCGTGGGTCCACGGCTTCGGAACAATAATGTCATAATGACACTGATCGTCGAAATATGACCTTGACTAGGGATGAATCTGTGAAACCACGATTGCAGGGATCCCCCGGGATGGATCCATCAAAATGTAGCGTGTTCGAAATTACACCTACCTCTAAACCAAATATAGCCTGGGTATCACTACCACTTATAGTTAGTGTGTTATTCGTATTTAAACTACTTCTGCCGTACAGCCACTAACACTATCCCCTACCGACGGATCTGAACCCGAATCTCACGAGAAGGGTTATGCGCACGCCACATTGGGTCGTATCTGGGAGCTCTCAAATAGGACCTCACGAATACGACCTACTTTACATATTACCCATATTGCATTATACAAAATGGCTGGTAGGTTAGTTGTTAGTTTTTTTCGGTTTCTTCGCAGTGTGTACTCGATGTTTTGCGTTTACCAGTAATCGTACGTTTTCCTGACGCAGTATTTGAACCAATATCGCCTCGCGAGATAGCGATTCAGTTTGCATGTTTATTCATGTTTATGAACGTAGGATTTATTGACATTTATTGGAATATTTATTGGCATCGGACTC